CCTCTAGTTAAATATAAAATAGTTGGAATAAAGAAGTTGAGGTTAGCTTATGAATTGGTGGGAGAATGTGTTTCCTTATAAAATAATTTGAGTAATTTGTGACTTTTTATTAACCTATTTTAACCAGTAAATGTGATTATCTTTTTAAAGAACAGTTTTATTAAGATAATTCCTATACCATACAATTCACCCTTTTAGAGTGGACAGTTCAGTGCCTTTAAGTGCATTCACAGATATGGATTCATCACCACAATTTTAGAACATTTTCATTATCCTCCAGAAGAAACCCTACACCCCTCAGCCATTACCCCTCCCCCAGATTTCCCAGCCTTAGGCAGCCACTAATCAATTTACTTTCTGTCTCTGTAGATTTGTTTATTGTGGACATTTAAATGTAAAATGAGCCATGTAATATATGACAATTAGCGACTACTTTCTTTCACTTAATACAGTAGTACCCCCTTATCCACTGTTTCACTTTCCGCAGTTTCAGTTACCTGAGATCAACCACAGTCCGAAAATATTAAATGAAAAATTCCAAACGTAAATAATTCATAAGTTTTAAATTGTACGATGTTCTGAGGGGCATGGTGAAATCTCTCACTGTCCTGCTCTGTCCCTTTGGGATGTGACTCTTCCCTATGCCTAGCGTTTCCATGCTGTACACCCGCCCCTCAAATTAGTCACTTTTATAGCCGTCTTGGTTATCAGATTGACTGTTGGAGTATCACAGTGCTTGTGTTCAAGTTACCCTTACCAGTATTTTACTTAATGGACCCAAAGCACAAGAGTAGTGATGCTAGCAATTCATATATGCCAATGAGAAGCCATCAAGTGCTCAATAAAGCACAGAACAAATAATGATATACCAAGATTACAAAGGTCTGAGGTAAGAATGAATCTTCTGCCCTGGCCGGTTTGGCTCAGTGGATAGAGCGTCGGCCTGCGGACTGAAGAGTCCCGGGTTTGATTCCGGTCAAGGGCACATGCCCAGGTTGCGGGCTTGATCCCCAGTAGGGGGCATGCAGGAGGCAGCCAGTCAGTGATTCTCTCTCATCATTGATGTTTCTATCTCTCTCTCCCTCTCCCTCCCTCTTTGAAGTCAGTTTAAAAAAAAAAAATTTTTTTTAAAAAAAGAATGAATCTTCTATTCGTGGAATTATAAAAAGGAAAAAGAAAAAGAAGGCCATGCTAGTTTTGGTGTCCCACCTCAAACTGCAAAAGTTACAGCCATAGTGTGTGATGAGTGCTTAGTTAAGATGGAAAAGGCATTAAATTAAATATGTGTGTGTAAGACATGAACAGAAAACATGTTCCGGCCCGGCCCTGCTGGCATGGCTCGGTGGTTGAGTGTGGACCTATGAATCAGGTCAGGAGATCACGGTTTCATTCTGGGCCAGGGCACATGCCCAGGTTGTGGGCTCAATCCCCAGTAGGGGGCGTGCAGGAGGCAGCCCATCAATGATTATTTCTCATCATTGATGTTTCTCTCTCTCCCTCTTCCTTCCATTCTGAAATCAATAAAAATATTTTTTAAATAAAAATAAAATGGGAATCTTTAAAAAGGAAAACGTGTTCTGAATGATGGCAATGCGTTGTGCCAGAAAGCATTGAGCCTATGAGAAGACTCCAGCAAGGGTCCCCGAAATGAGTAACCGCATTCACATAACTTGTTATTACAGTATATTGTTATAATTGTTTTACTTTATTTTTGGTTATTGTTGTTAATCTCTTACTGTGTCTATAAATTAAACTTTATCATAGGTATGTAGATATAGGGAAAAAACATAGTATGGGTTTGGTACTCTCGGTTTCCAGCATCCACTGGGGTCTTGGAACTTAATCCCTGTGGGTAGTGGGAGACTACTGTGTAATGTTTTCCACATCAGTAGCATGTATCAGTACTTCATTTCTTTTTATTACTGGCTGAATAATACTCCATTGAACATAAAATACCACATTTTATTTATATTTTCATAAATTAATGGGTATTTGAGTGTTTTCTATGTTTTGGTTATTGTGAATGATGTCACTGAGAACATGTGTAAACATAAGTTTTCATATTTCTTAAGTATATATATATAAGAGTAGAGTTGCTGGGTCATAGAGTAAGTCTATTGTTAACTTATTGAAGATCTGCCAGACTGTTTTCCACAGCAGCTGCACCATTTTACATCCCCACCAACAGTGTGTGGAGTTCCAGTTTCTCCACATCCTCCCTCACAAACACTTGCTCGTATCCATCCTGTTAATTTAGCCATCCTAGTAGGTGTAAAGTAGTATCTCATTGTGATACTAGTTTTATGATTTCATAAGGCACATTTCAGGTCACCACCCCCCCCCCCCCCAGATTTTCTCTTAATAAATAAGAAATGATGCTTTTAAGTTTGTGATAGAATTTTTTTTAATTGTTGATTCCTTTTTCCTAACAGGCTAAGGAGATTTTAACAAAGGAATCAAATGTGCAAGAGGTCCGTTGTCCTGTCACTGTCTGTGGAGATGTGCACGGTCAGTTCCATGATCTTATGGAACTCTTTAGAATTGGAGGGAAATCACCAGATACAAACTATCTGTTCATGGGCGACTATGTAGACAGAGGTTACTATTCAGTGGAGACTGTGACTCTTCTTGTGGCATTAAAGGTATGATTAATGAAGTTTAATTTTTTTCAAGCTTTAAACCAACAAAAGGCAAAAATGTCAATATTGTGTATCATCTGTTCTGTGTAATCCATTCAGTTTATAACCCCTTAAATAATAGTTGATTTTACATCTTTTAAAAGAGATGAGAATACTACATTAGACCTCTCCTGCCTACTTCCGGTATATCATTCTCTTGGGGAATCCATAGCTGAAGTCTTGGAATCATTTTTTACTTAATCACTTATCCCTCATGTTTAGTCCATTAACAGGTCTATATCTGTTTCCCCGTGTCTTTCTGTTTTTACTGTCTCCATCCAATTTGTATCTTTATCACTTCACACTGTAATTATTGCAATAGAAATAATAGTAACTAATATTTCTGCCCCCAACATCTGACCCCTCCAAATTTTCCTTGCCCTTGCATATGCTGCCAGATTAAAGCTCTTTTATTTAACAGTTTCGTCTTGTCACTTGCAAATTCTTTAGTGATTCCACGTTGCCTGTACACTCAAGCTCAAACGCTTTGCCCGGCCCTCTATTGTATAGCTTGAATTTGCCTGCCGGTAGTTGGTAGCATAAACATTTTGTGTCAAATCAAAGAATTTCAGTGTTCAGTCTGTCTCCATTTATTTCCTTATCCAGTTTCTTCACAGAATTACTCTGATTTCTCACCCCTCCTGTCAAGACTCAACTCAAGTTCTTCTTCCATGAAGTCTTCAACCATTTTCGCCTCACTCCTTTCCTCTAAATGACCATGAAACCTACTCCCCCACCCCTTATTTATGTTGCATAGCCGTTTATTGCCTTGTGTTATTTAGTTCACATCCTCTTTAGTGACGTTTTGAGGAGCAGAAGTCATGTATTATACTTGTGGCATCCTCACCTAACTTTAGCACTGAGTTAATGCTGGACATATATGATGGATGCTTAGAAAATATGTATGAATGGAAGTACATATTTGCAGCTTTTGGTTAATTTGGTTTACAGAATCCGATGCTTTTCATAATTTATCAGACATATTCCTAACTAGTATACTATAAGGTCTGTCTCTATATTTTGTTATGGAAAAGACTATTAATACATTTGAAATCTTGCCTAGATTTGGTAAAGGCCTGTTTTTGTTGGCAAATACAATCTTCTCGTGGGAAATGGAAATTAGTCTATAGAGGAGTTTGTCTCAGGTCCCAATCTCTGCTCTTCATTATCCATTTAGCAGTAAGAAGTTACATTGTTCTGGGAAGACTTAGGAAACTAGTAATAAAGATGAAGGTATTTAGGACAGAATCAGATACAAGTTTATTATAGTGATATAGGTATCAGTTAATAAGGATTCCAGTGAGAGTGGTATAAATAGTAATGAAGAACAGCTATCTGAAATATTTCATCATAATTTAATCAATAGGACCTGGTCATGAGTGAGAACATTTTTTACTCTGAAAAGGATTTAACATTTAATTTACTAGCAGACAAAAGAGCCATTTAAAGAAGTAGGTCAGGGGTTAATATATTTAACATGACACTAATAAAAATATGATTTGTACCATGGGTTTTTTGTTTTGTTTTGTTTGCTTCTTCTCCAGGTGCGGTATCCAGAACGCATTACAATATTAAGAGGAAACCACGAAAGCCGGCAAATTACCCAAGTGTATGGCTTTTATGATGAGTGCCTGCGAAAGTATGGAAATGCCAATGTTTGGAAGTATTTTACAGATCTGTTTGATTATCTTCCACTTACAGCTTTAGTAGATGGACAGGTGTGTATGTGTGCGCTTACATGGGGGGGTGGGAGGTAGAAGGTTG